CATTTTCCATTTAATTGAAGTGAAAGTGATAGGGATTTCTTTATCCCAGTTAGTCAATCCCAAGCCATAAACACTTTCAAGTATGGTGTTGGAAGGGGGTGGGGGAATGCGGAGGGATCCTGAACACTTTTCTTTTAAACATATCTACTTTATTAATCTCGATTGTTTTTGTTATTATCTTGAAATTTCGGAGTATAAATAGGAAGCAGAATAGCAAAACCTCAAGTAGCTTGTCATTTTGTGTTTTTCTAGTTGTTGAAAATTGCCAAAAATTGAGACACTTTTCTTCTAATGGACAACGGCTTACACTCTCTTAAAGAGGAGACCTATATCCGAATGGGCAACCTGTTTAAATTAATAAAACAAGTTTTCATCTCAACAACGTAATTCAGATGCTTTCGCCTTTTTACGAATTGAGGTGTCATTTAGGAGACTGGAAAACATAATCATGAATGACCTTTCCCATGTTGGATGCGATAAAACCAAAGACAAAGTAATTGAATTGATAGCCAAAGGAACTAATCTTACAACTCTGTTATATGTGAAGGTAGATCGCATTTAAGGCAATGGAAAATGAATATTCATTACCAAGAGATAACAAATGCCAGGGTTAGTGACTTGATTGATGTATTTAGAGTCACGGTACATTATCTAACTTGAAGAATATATAGGGCTTGCTTTACTCTAATAAATGACTAAATATGCAAGTATAGCCACTAAATAAGTTTTATAAACCTAAAAAATGGTATGAATTGGTTTTGAATTGTGTAATTATTAGGGGAAAAGGCAAATTCAATACAATGTCTCACAAATGCCTTTTAAAAGATGCTTCAAACGATCGAAATGCTTCTTCTTGCATTCAAAACGACCGAAATGATGGTGTTCCGATACTTTTGTTCTTCCTCGTTTCGCTATTTCATTAAAACCTCACACTTAAGTACTGATGTCATCTTATTTTGGTTGGAGATATCTGCTTAATTGTGGACCTGAAGTTGAGCGATCATTCTGGTGGTTGGTTGTGTGATCTATAAAAGTTGTTTAAATCAGTTTAGAAAGAATTAAAGCACTCAGGTACACGTTCAGCTTTGGAATGACTACACACACTGGCTTATGTCTATCAATATGGGGTGTGCGAAAGACCTACCTCCACGTGTTGCATCCTGGACAACGTATGCTCATACGGCAAAAAAGTGTATTAACTGGCAATTAACTTCTGACATCAAACTACCATGATCCCACTCTATGTCGTATTCGACAACTTTCACAGTATTCATCTTACCTTTTCTCTGCCTTTGTCTGTGTCTTTTACATCTGTGAACCACTCTTCTGTTCCACCTCTTGACTTTTCTCACTTTGATGTTCCTCCCTCTGTTAAGGTCCGAAGTCAGCTAAAGGGCTAATGATAACTATCAAAACATCTGCCATTTGAAATAAATATCTACCAATATGGAGATAAGAGTTATTACATTACTAGAACATATAATGAACTTGTGAAGGCAAATAAGCTCTTTACTGAGATATATCTGCTTTTTGTCCTTTTGGTCTATCATTAAGGTGCCTTTGAGCCTTGGGCAATTTCTGTTCAGTATTTCGCAGGAAATTAATTTTTTTAAATATCCTGACTAATTTCAATTCTTTGCCAATCTATTCTTTGAGCTATTCATTATACAACTAGTGAATTGTGAATATTATCATAGATTTAGGAGACACTGTGTACTGTACTTTAAACTAAGGCCTCGCCCATGTTATTCTCACATGCAAAATGATGAATGTGTTGTAGCGTTCCACCCCCTCCCCCCCCCTCATTGTGAGTGCGGAATTTTGTCCCTCATTTTGCCATTGTGGTGTATGACTCAGTACTCAACAGTCGGTATACTCAGCGCTACTTCGATTAGTCTCAACCAGCCACCAGGATATTGGCATGCTGCATGATTGTTGGTATACAAAATAAATAAATACGTGCATGTATGCATAGTCTTCACGGAATATGACAATGAACGTATTTTTTATTTTTTTGTCTTTTCACCGACCAGTGGCGTGTTAAAACAGGTCTTCAGGCAAGCGTGTGGATATATATACAAGTTTACTCATTCATTCGCAAACTATCATGTGATTTAGCCATTAATGAGTAAATGGTATAGGTGGGGAGGTTGTACTCAAGCCACCTGCTCAGTATTGATGAAGCTTGTAGTTGTCATGGTGACGGTTACGCATACTGGTACCTGCTATTGATTAACGGAGGTATCACCAAAATTGACAGCAACGTAACTCTAAATGGTCGCTACTTCAGAGACTTAAAATTGAATACAAAAACAGAATTACTTGTTGCTTTAGCCAATAACTGAACCAAATAACTTAAATTTAACTGGAGAACACGGTATTTGAGACAAGTATTTTCCCTGTATAAAGAAACGATAGAGACAGTTAAAAGAGGACGTTTTAGACAATCATATTGAGTTGAAAAATACTACGCATTCGATGAAGTTGTTCCTAGGTAGTTCTCAATTGAGCTATATTTAAACTTTAGCAAATAAATTAATAGGAATCAGAAGATCACAAACTTCCTACCTTCTACTATAAATCGTCTTCCAGAAAACCTGTTGATCAAAGAATCGCGAGAATAAGAAAGACTCGCAACAACAGTACCGACGTGCCTTCCACGAAGTTTGGTAATATAACCACACTTTTAGAACGCGGCAGCCAAACGTGGGACTGCGAAATTAGACATTAATATTTGAAGATGGGGTGTGCGGTAGACTTACCTCCACGTGGTGCACCCTGGGCAACGTATATTCATACGACAAAAAAGTCTATTGATTGGCAGTTGACTTCTCACTTCAAACTACCCTCACCATATTGTATGTTATATTCGACTTTTTCCACAGTACTCACCTCACCTTTTTTCTACCTTCGTCTTTGAAGCACTCTTCTGTTCCCCCCCCCCCTCTCGACTTTTTTCCCACTTTGATGTTCCTTCCCCTCTGTGAAGCCTGAAGTCGACTAAAGGGCTAATAATAACTATCAGAACGTCTACCATTTGATATAAATAAATATTTGAAGATTTCTCTAACAAGCAGTTAAGAGCCGAAAATCAAACTACAGCAATTGCTCAGCTCCAAACCACTTGTGCAAAAGCGATATAAAGGCTTTGAAATAAACTTAGAGCAGAACAAGTGCCAGGTTTCCACCAAAGAATGACTTATTAAGCTTTTTAATAATAACAGGAGTAATTTTTTACGTCTTTGGTAGTCGGAAGATACAACATAAACGCTTGTGGTAATTCAGATGTCAGAAGATTAATACTCATCGATGTAAAAGTTGGGTGGCAAGCTGAGCTATTTATGAAACCAGTGATGATAGAAAGTGATTTCCCCAATATTGCAGCTTCAAAATACCTTCCAAGTCAAGTGTTATTAATGATCTTCACAATTGGGTTTTTCCATGGACGCTTATTCGGTTCCAAAAATTATTTCATGAAATGGAATTTTCCATTTTACCGCACTGGGCGGATTTTCGGAAAACCCCAGTAACTCCACATGATGCATCCTGGGCAACGTGTACTCATACGCCAAAGTCCATAAACCGACAGTTGACTTCTCACTTCAAACCATCATGACCCCACTCTATGTCATATTCGACCATACCCTTTCCATGCCTGTGTCTGTCTCTTTACATCTATAAATCTCTTCTGTTAACCCTCTCGACTTTTCTGACTTTGACGTCCCTCCCCTCTATGTAGCCCGAAGTCAGCTAAAGAGCTAGTGATAACTATCATAATTGATATAAATATTTAGACTAACACTAACTACTCCAATCTCTGACTATTTTAGCACAATCCTGGATTTTACGATACGGTTACCTCCTGCACCAACAGAAAATGGCGTTCTTGATATAGTTTGTTTGAAATCCATTCCTGTGGTTATGGTACACAAGAGCAACTAGTACCTATATTCTTGCACGCTAAGTGACGGCACCCGTAGTAAGTAAAGCCTTTCGATTAGAAAAGGTACATCATGTCCAGCGAAATTCATCCTATGTCTTCATTAGAGAAAGTAACCGAAATCACTCTCATTGGTGGCACATAGGGGACCAAGTCAAAGGTCCGTACATGTACAATGAACGGGGAAATTCACCGGTACCGGTCGTAGACAATCCATAGGAGGACGCCAAATGATGAGTAGACATTCTAAGACTAATGTAACATTTTAGCCTTTCCTGAAACTGAGATGACAAGATTTTGATTACTATTTTTAAAGAGCGCAAATCCGCACCTCAAGCTAACTAAAATAGCCGATTGGGGTAACTGTATACGAACTTTCGTTGAAAAGATGACATCAATAAGACCTAGAGCTAAATTATCAGGCCCTCTAAGCTTTACAAAGAGTTAAGTTGGCCAGAACGCACATTAACAGCAGATTAAACGCGTATCTTTCGAGAAATGACGAGGTGAAAAGGAACCAATAGATATTTTTTATTTAAGATCTCAACAATTTCTTCACTTTCGTAGTGAAAACAATGTCGAATTATTAAGTTTTTTTCGCCTGAACTAACTATAAATTAGCCATCTCTTTTCTCCAGTTATTTCTTGGATAGCTTAGCAACCTTAGACGCAATTACATTAAAAATCAAAACCAGCCTTTCGAAAAGAAAAATGAAGTTGTAAAAATGGTCAGTCTTAACTTCTTCCATAATACTCTCCACATTCAGCTGTGTCCACCCGCTTGATTGGTTTATTGTAGTCAAAGAAAGTATTATTATTTCAAAGACTAAATAAACTTAGATATATGCATCTGGAATTTATGCGTAATTTAGAAATTCTTTAGACTAAGGTCATTCATTCTTAGAAAACAACACAACACCACCTCTAATTATAATACGAAACAAAATCTTCAACCCTTTATTTCATAAAATTCAATTTGAGTAAATAAACCAACATAAATGAGATTAACCAATCTTCATGATTATATGGCAAAATAGGAAAATTGAGAGTGGTGATTGCGTCATATAAGGCGTCCGAAAACTGTCACAAAATCTGTTGTTGCAGCAGTCACAGGATAGAAGTTAAAGTGTCTATACAACTCAGCTCGAGTCTCGTTTATTCGATCCAGCTCAACGTGCACACCCTGAAGTGCGAAGAAAAGCGCAAGGGATTAGATAGTAAATTGTTAATTTCATACTAATCCCATGCTCGATTTCAAGCATGGGGGTGGAGGGAACGGATATTCAATATAAGTCTCCTTTATTATTTGATACTATAGAAGGATTTCATTAGTGGCTTAATTAATTTACATTAGCTACGCACTGTTTCCCATGTCAGATAGTTACTTGAATTCTCGAAATAAACTTAAATAATATAAGACACATCATAGTTATCCAAAGTAGAAGTTATAATTATTCGAAGGGATCGATAACCCAGTCATAATTTATCAAAGAATGAGAATAAAGTACTAAGTTTTGTTTAAATAGGCTTTCACTAAGGCACAACATATATAAAATACAAGCAAATATGAAAGGGCTTAAAGTACTAAGCAGGAGTGATAGAGTTGAACTCAGGATGACTCTCCATTGGTCCAACCTACCTGCTCAAACCCAACTGAGGAAGCCGTTCAACTAATAAAGATTTTGTAACACCATGAATAAGTACAGTTTGAGCTCCAACTTCAAGCCATTAGATCAAACAATATCATCTTTTAACTGTTATTTCCTATGGTCGTTCACCTGGTAATCAACAAGACTTATCATAAATTGGTCGATATTGTTAAAAGAAATTATCTTATCCACCTCCTACCTGTCTTGATTTGCGCTCCTATCGCCCTTCAGCAGTTCCTTTGATATCTACTAAACTAAGGAAAGTTGCTGTTCCTAAGAAGTTTGCTATAGCCTAACAAGGTAAAATATCTCTCATTCAACAACTCCTCACTTGATCAACGTTAACTAATAATTTTTGAGATGAAAGTAGATTTGATGGATAGATAAAATGTGAAATTATCCCCTTATAGACTGCATTGATTTAGAATCGACTCCTCTTTCACTACTTATGGTGTAAAATTCAGCACACGGTGTTTAAATAGTCTATTGATGAACACTTTACATTTCTAATCGTCAGCTTACATCAACCACCTCCGAATTTGAGGCTTCTTTCGCGAGCTTCTACCTAGAGAATCACACTAGCTTCATGCTACGGCTTTCTTCACGTTATAGCTACGTCCCTGTTGAAAGTAAACTAATTCTCCTATATCTGATAAAACTAGTCTCAACTCGGAAGAGGCCTAAAGGGCAGATTCTGATAATAAAGGTAACCAACGTTATCTTAGAGATAAGAAGGTACTTACATGAGAAGCACACGTTTTCAGTCCAGCCAAAAGACAGATGAAGAGACGTCTAGCGACTTCATCTAAGACCATTTCCGGGGGATCACATCCCACCAACGGCACTCCTCTTCCACTTCCAAGCTGAGATGGAGCTATCGCGAAGGGGGTCCTATCAAATTCTGTATCATCTAGTTCGATAAAAATGCTCGCAGGGTGGGCCATAATAGCAGGCACACAACCAGGTTTTATGTCCTCGCATTTTTTCTGAGAATCCGAACTACCAACTACTGAAGCACTATTAGTAGAAATTTGTGTGGTTGTCGAAGAGGTAGAACAATCTATCATCTCTGTCTCATCGCTTCCTAACTTCTCTTGGGAGCCACTACTTCCATGGTTAGAGTTATTAGTATCCTTCTCAAAAGATGATAGGGAAGCTTTCTCGTCAGGAGATTTCACCGATACCTCCACTATAGGTACATTTGACTCGGGATTCTCCTTTAAAGTAGTCATAATCTGCTGCTGGTGGTCGGATTTGTGCTGCAGCTTCTGTTGTTCTGAGATTGCATTATCTAGACGTTCGGGTGGCGGAGCATCGGCAAAAGCGGAATCCGCGAAGATGCTTGGAGAAGATCGAGTAATGAGCTCGTCGTGGATCCAGTCCAGTGACATCTGAAAAAGAAAAACATTAAGATTGGAATACTCAAAGCAAATTTGGAACTCAGAGTTATACTTACACCACCAAGATTTAATTAATCGCCTTAGGTAAAAAAGGAAGGAACCAGCCCAATTTACCAACCCATCTTACTTTATTCTAATTGCTTTTCTTCCATTTCAAGTGCTCACGTCCTGACCTTGTTTGTTCTTTTTTCGAGCTTCATGAGAGCACTTTGTATCGCCTAAAAAACTAACCCAAAGTCTACATAGTTTCTTGATTTAAGTCTAACAAAATGTAGGCGAGGTTACCTAACAAGAAAAACATGTTATGGTCAAAATGGGAACTGGGTGTGAATGGCTGATAATGAGTTGTATTTCACTGTCCTCAAATGCAACATATAAATTTTCTTTGTAAGCAACCTGGAGAATTTCTGCCTTTAGTAGTGATGGAAAGTGATCTACCCTAACTGATACTAGGACCAAGCAATTGTATCAAGAAGCAGCCTAACTACACAGTGAAAATGTAGCATTGCCCAATGAAGGGAAACTGCTACGACAAACCACGAAATAAAACAGCAGTTTAGCTTTATGATGATATATATATATATATATAGCCATTGGAGTACTGAGAAGCAGACAAGAACACAGGGGGAGAGAAACTATTTAAAATATCACACTTTCGTCCTTTAGATGTACGGCTTGGAATGAGTGTATAAAAAGAAGTGAACCATACTTTCCTTCACTGTTAAAATTCGATAGTCGGAAAATTAGGTCGTAAAATGACCCGAAACATACTTTAATAAAGAGCTCCATTGAGATTTTTGGCAACACACGGTTATTTGACGATAATACTCGAAAGATTGACTCTGGTTTTTCACTCTCTCCATCCCGGAGCTGCAAAATTTCATCTCTGGGGTACTTGGTCCGCAATACTTCCCTTCTAAGGTTGTCTCGAAACTGGGTCATCGAAACAAGATCAGGAGCGGCAAATGCAAAGCCCACAATATCCCTCTGTTCCTTATTGGATGACGGTGATGGCTGTGAATTTATTGATCTGGAAACTTCAGAGAAAAGTGGAGGACCTTCCATGATCAGTCCGTGTTCGGGGAAAAGTGCCAGATAGACAAGGAGGTACCTATAGTTGAATGAGAAATGACATCAGATTACGATACTTGCTTGATAGTGTCAAATATTTATGTATGATCATCGGATGAATACCTTTTATATGGGAATTATATGAAACGTTAACTATTAGGCACAATGAGCAAAACGAGAAAAACGCTATAGAAATTATTATAAGACTCGGTACTCGTTCCACCCCCCCCCCCCCCCCCCCCTTAAGNTTCCCCCCCCCCCCCCCCACCGCCCTTAAGGACAATTTTACTTTTCACGCGACAGATTAAAGTTGAACAAATTTAATTAGATTGGTTTAGGTACAAAAAGAATAATCCTTATTTCATTAAAATCTAAGTTTATAGAGATTCAGCTGATCTGTGTGATCGAACGCCATAACCTTAGAGGCCTCCAAACAGCATTTAGATTGGGCCAACTTATCTTCCTTCATTTTCAGCAGCGGATCATAACTTTAATGCAGACTAAGAATTATGTAAGACTGAAGTTTTAATTTCTCTTTTCTTTATCCTTCATGTTCTAATTAAATACAAATATATTTCCATCATCTCTGTCTCTTTAACTCTGCTAATGCCAATGATTTAGAATGAAATTAGAATTGACAAAAAGATCACCTGTCTCCAGGTAGGTCCTTATACTTCTCCGGTAGAGCATCTTGAGGTAAACCTAGCCTATGCAACAAGATACGTCGCCAAAGTGCATAAACCTTCGCCTTATCTTCGCGTCGATAGGGTCGCAGGGTGTAGTCTCTGTATGATTGAAGCAATGTGTCGGCGTTGCTCAGCCCTTTGTTCTCGATTGAAGGGGTCTGGACTGGCTGGGATTCAGAGGGCAATTCTTCCAGGGCAATGGGTTGATCGATTGATGTGGTATTTGTTGTAGGACCTACTCGAATGGGACCTGGAAAGAGATCTTGGGCTGATTCGAGGGGGAGAATTCGCTGAAAGAAGCAAGGTGCTGTAAGAGGGAATTCAACATACATTTAATCGAGTGAACATAAATAAATCCAAAGGAATAATTTTCACAAATTATAAAAACAAAAAAATTAAACCGGTATATAAATCGATAACGATAGACGGTGACACACCATACGAGGATGAATCAAAAAGTTCTCAGACAAATGCCATAATTTTAAATTGAACAAAGATTTAGTTTTCAAGTTCAAATACGTCTTAAGAGATTCCTTAATAACATGTAACTATCCGATCATTCTACATAAGTTCAGAATCAAGACAGGTTACTTCTCAAAATAGATAGCAATTTTCAACCCTTCAAATGACAAGTTTTGAGAACAGAGCGAACATAACATTTTCAATTAAATTAAACTGGAGACCTGTTGAGATCATGGAGTCTCTATAACAGTGTATGGGGAATCTTTGCCATGTAGAGCAGCCATTTATAACAGGATAAGTGCAACATGATGGCGACCTACGAGGTGACCCCTCACCACAGCAAGAAATCAGTAAAAAACATCTCTCTTGTGTAAAACCTAGCGTAGAAACAAGATAGAAGATTTACCATTGAGGAAATTGCCAATAGATCAAAATTTTTAATTCGCACAGAAAATTTGGCTTGAGTAAGCTCTAGGTGGGTACGATGGATTTCAAAGGTAGCAGGAACAACTGATCCAAAACCTGAACTTTTTCAGCAATTTTGGAAAAGATGGAAGCAAATGAGGATAATTTTTAAACTAATGAAACATGAATATATCAATTTGAAGCACAAAGTAAAATTCCATTCAAGTTCAAAGCTGAAATTTGCGTTAAGGGGGCCATGGTCACTATTTTTGTTATTTAAAAGTAGGGATACGATAGATAGACTTTTTAGAAGCGCAGAAAACGGTCATTTCAACTTATTATGAAGGTACTTTGAAGAAATTGAAAATATCCCAAAACAAGCGACAGTGCGAGAAACTGGATAGTCAAATTTTACTTCATGACAGTGCTTCTGCTTTTTCTTCAAGAGCTGTCAAGGCCCGGTTGAGCAAATTTAGGTGGGAAGTACTTCCACATCTTCCTTATAGTCCAAACCTAGCCCCCTCGGTTTTTTTTGCTTTCAGAACTGAAAGAACATCTTAAAGGGAGCCAGTATACATCTTTTGATGAGGGAATTTACAAGTGGAAATATAGATTACAACAGTGCATGGACAACAATGGAGTCTATGCAGAAAATGAATGTATCACTTGCTAAATAAATTAAGGAATTTATCTGAGAACTTTTAAATCACCCTCGCAACTGATTATTTCCTATCAAATAAATATAAAAATCAACTTTTAACAGCGAAAAGGAAGATTTAAACCAATGGGACTATATTGACGTCCAAATTGTTACATCGCTCTCATACTAATGAATATCGGGGGCGTTAGAAGATAAGACTGAACTGGACGATAATCTCAGAGTTCGAGACATGCCTACGGAAAGAGATCGAGCATTCAACCAGTAATAGAAACTGAATAATCACTAACATAAAGAACAGACAGAGTAATTAAGAAGGGGAAGCGCATGAGCGAATACGCTATCGTAGATCCAGATTGAGACTGCCAAAACAACACAACGTACTGACAAGCAATGAATAGGAACATTACTATTTCGACTAGTCTCGATTCACCCTACCTTGTAAAAGAACTGAGAACCAGTTCTTTAGTCTTGAGGAATTCTCAATGGCGTTGCGAGCTTATGGATAAAATAATACTACCAAAAACGCTTCAGTGACCGAAAAAATTTTGGAATACTAAGAACCAGGTGTGGTATTTTGTGATGAGTTCAAGCCGATACTTCTGTGGTAGTGCTTGCTTGAAAAGTTCCCTCATTGGATTAAATCGCTCCATGATATTCAACAACCAATGCCAATGACTTGGGCTCATTTAGTTAGTGGAGTTTTAATAGACTAAACTAGGCTCGTAAATAAAATTATGGACAACTGATTTTGAACCAAAGAAATAGTTAACCAAATGTTTACGTCCAATAACTACCATTCATAAAGCTCAAAGAAGTACATCGCCAAAATTGATAAAAAACAAAGACACTATAGAACAAGCTGTATCGAATTAAAAAAGAACAGTTAATTCCGGATGAACAATAGATGACACTCGTACACTCAACTAACCTGAAGATCAGTAATTAGGCCACCTCGAAACCTCGAGGGTTCACAATCGCCAGACATTGCAACTTCACTGTAAATTGGGGAATAGGCTGAAATAGGAAAACCAATAGTTGAACACGATTATACATAGATAACGCTTTAACCATATAAGTAGTAGCGAATAACATACATTTTAGATGAGCCTGGGTTTTGTTTGCCATTAAACCGTTCTCTGAAAAGTAATAAAAAAGCTTAATAACTTCAAGAAGGCATAACAGAAATTGGAAGAATGGTTTGAAACACACCAAGGCATCGAAAGTAATCGAGGAGCATGGTAAAGGCTGAATTTATATCAGCGAGGTAGGGCGCAAGGTCAGATACAACACCAGGATGTGGAAATCGTTGAAACTTCTCTCTCAATTCACTCACACTGGTGGCAATTTCCAATAGTTCTGCATATTTCTTACACCAGGGGTTATTCTGAAACACAATATAAATAAATAAATTCGCGTTACTTATAAGAAATAAGTAATTTGAGTTAAGAAAACTACCTCACTGTCCGAAAATTTATTGACTGGAGCAAGACGCACGTTTTCGCGCAGCCAATGGCCAAGTTCTAAGGCTTTCAGGGCTTTGGGACCGTGGGAGAACGGAAGATAAAATAAGTCGGAGAGGAGAAGCAGATCATTTAGACTGATGCCCAGTGAAGGGACGACAGTGGTGGGAAATTCCGGAACAATGCTATAGTCAACCTCGGTTTTTATACCAGCGACTTCATCATTTTCAATCTCGAAAAAAAAGAGAAAAACGTCTTAATAAAAGCTCAAAAGACAAATAAGTATTATTTCAATATCATGTTCGAACTCTTCTAGCGATATGAATGACTGGAGCTAATTAAAAATTAAATCAGTTCGATTAAAATCTCCATACAAGTCTTTTATTAACTTTAAAAATTCGAAAACCACGCTATCAATCTAAATATACTGCTATCGCAACAAGATATAGAGATTTCATCTGTTTTATCTCGCAAAAGATCCGAGAGCATACAGGAGCCCTGAAAGTAGAAGTCAGGTATGAATAAATTACGGCTCTAGGGTATTAGAAAATTACGCCTTCCTAATTTTGATGGAAAGCAATAGAGCAAAAGTAATGAACAAGAGGACTATTTGTAATAAGCTACCAGATATTTGAAACTATTTTCGTGGTTCGACACGAAGGCCTTTAATCGTAACTATCCCTAAAAAGCCTAAGTCAACAAACACGGAAAGCAGAAAAATAAAGCAATGTTGGATATATAATCAACAGGGGATTAATTACGAACTATACGATCTCTGCAGTCTTATCGAACGATGTTATGTGCAAGATGCAGTAATGTTCCAATAGTATAATACCAACCAAGGAAAAGCTCAAAATCTTTTTGAATGGACCAACCTGCATAGGGGTTTCTGAGGTATCAGTAGAGTCTGTATCCATTGGGGTAGGAGATGAGGGAGGCAAGGAAGACTGTTTCGCCAAAACTGAAGTTGATTGTTGATCCTAAAAAAAGCCTCAAACTGATGAGACCAATGGGAAGAGAGAAATACATAGTACAAAGAAACGTTGTATTTTGAATTATACCACTAAGACTTATGTAATAAAAAAATGCAATACCCACAAATTGAATGCAACACCCGAAAAAATCTAATAACATTCAGCAACGGTAGTTTCAGTGGGAAAAATTATAAGGGATTGATATCCGCATAGACGAATTAAGGGTGTCTCACACAGCCAGGTTTTATACAGGAAAAGAGGTCGTAATAAAGTGAATGGGCAGACACTACATATCTAGGCGCAAAGAGTAAAACAACGAAGTGAATAAAGATATTCCCTCCAGTCTTATTTATACGTCATACCAGATTCGAGAGCCCTTATATACCATCCGATTTAGCTTGGTGTCAGCGGCTAATTGTTATCCTAATTTCATTACTTATTAAACCAATCTGATATGAATACTTTATTTAACTACCTGTAGGCTTTTATCGATTTCCCCACATTATGAAATATCCTAATTCTAGTTCTACTAGGTTGACTAGTCATAACTTTGAAAGTCATTTTTTTTTCTACCTTTCCCGAATAAAAAGATTTCGCCAGTCCTTGCTTCATTTCTTTTGGTATTTAAATTCGAATGACCAGGAAGTGTACTAGTTTAACTAATTCCATCCTATTATATGCTAGTATCGTCTACATTAGAGCCGCTCATCTACTAATAATATTTCAATTTTAATTAAATAGAGTAACGTTAAGTAACCGGCCTACCAGTACCATGAGAGCCAACCAATCCCGGAGAGCGTTATGAAGAGCCTCCCTGGGACGATAGACATGTGTTGAAGGGGTACTTGGTACTGAAGCTACTTCTTCGTTCGACTGAGTCTCCTCCTCCCTTTCTTCGCGTTCTATGTCGTCGCTAGTGTCTGTGAGGTTTGAAGAGGCTGCCACCTTCTCTGACTGAGTGGGGTAGCCGATTCTAAAATGGAGGAAATTTAGAGATCATTTATACCATAGGGAAATTTTGCGACCCCTCATTTTTAAATGTAAAGCTGGTTGGCGATTTTTGCTAACTATTTAATACAAAAACTCAAAAATGTCTTGGATCCATTAAAACATGTATGAAGAAAGTTAAAGCGCATTATTTAAGAAACAGATAAAGATCAATCCATTGTCGGATTGATGACAATTTCTTCCAGGCCATTAGAAAACACTTATGAAATTTGAAACGCACATTTTGAAACCAGATATGGTCTCAGTGAATTAAAAAAATATTTTGCCATCCTATAACCTTTTAAATATTCTAGCATCTTTTCAGATACTAGGCCTAAAATTATCCTCACCAAAAGAAATAGCACGTGACAGATAAGTAGGAACTTCAGAATGAACTTTAAGTATAGTTACACGTAAATAATTAGTAAAAGCATCTTTAAACAATCATCTTGGTTGACGGTCCGGTAAAATGTGGTTGGAAGCTCGATTTTTTCTATTGGGTGGGCAACTAAGTCATTGCCGTTTTTGTTGACAGATTCACTCTATACTTTCTGTTTTGTTAACGTGGCCAGAGCATCTAACCTATATTTTTTTCTTACTGTATGGGCTTCTAGGTTAATTAGTACAAAATTTTTTTGTTTAGTTCTTTAGTTTTGTTTTTATCCCAATTTAAAAATGAAAGAACAGGACGTGCACTTCCGACACATTTTATTGTATTACTTCCGAAAAGGCAAGAACCCATCGCAAGCACAAAAGAAGTTATGTGCCGTATATGGAGATGAAGCCTTAAAAGAAAGGCAGTGTCGAAATTGGTTTGAAAGATTTCGTGATTCCGGTGATTTTCATTGAAAAATTCACAACGATCTGGCCGCTCAGTCGAAGTGGATGAAACCCATATCAAGGCCATTATCGATTCAAATCGTCACAGCACAACACGAGATATTGCAGAGAAGCTCAATGTGTCGCATACATGCATTGAAAAAAAATTAAAAAGCCTTGGTTATGTCAAGAAACTTGATTTACGGATCCCTCACCAGTTAAAGGAAATTCATTTGACGCAACGGATTAGCATCTGTGATTCGTTACTGAAACGCAATGAGAATGATCCATTTCTGAAGAACCTAGTTACTGGCGACGAAAAGTGGATAGTTTATAACAATGTCGTTACTCGCAAGAGATCATGGGTGAAGCAAGATCAACCAGCCCAAACAGTATCAAAAGCAGAGATTCACCAAAAAAAGATTATGCTGTCAGTCTGGTGGGGGGATCACAAAGGAATTTTGTATTTTGAACTCATGCCGCAGAATCAAACGATAAATTCAAATGTGTATGTTGAAGAACTCGAAAAACTGAAGGATGCAATTGAAGATAAGCGGCCGGCATTATCAAATCGGGTGTTGTTTTCCATCATGATAACGCAAGGCCCCACACATCTTTGGTTACTCGGCAAAAATTATTGCAACTGGGTTGGGATGTTTTGTCACACCCACCATATAGCCCTGACCTTGCGCCTTCGGATTACCATTTGTTTCGTTCCATGCAAAACTCTTTAAATGGTCAAATTTTTAACAACGCGGATGATGTCGGATCACACCTAATTCAGTTTTTTAATAGCAAAGACCAGACATTTTACGAACGGGGAATTTTTACTCTGCCAGAACGATGGAAAAAGGTGGTCGACAAGAACGGCCAATATCTAATTGAGTAAAGTTATATTTTTAAACAAAAATTCCAAATTTGCCTTCTTATTTGAAATCAGCAATGACTTAGTTGCCAACCTAATAGCATTTAATGGACAGAATTAACCAGGGCAAAAAAACGATTCTGGTCATTGAGCGCGCAGTGACGTTTGACTTATTGCATGTTACACATGCAGGATGCTCGGAGAAATTATTAAGAATACTATTTAATTGTTTTTCCAGATATGTAAAAGATGTTCAGACGCACACACGGTGTTTCCTTTACAAGTCTAAAACCCCGTAATTCAGACCGAATTACTCCAACTAGGATGAGTGTACAATGTACTTATAACTTATCCGTGTTTTAAACATTTTAACATTTTCATATTATCCATAAAATAAGATGATTATATGCATTCAGACATTAAAAAACTGACAGAATTCCAGTGCTATTTGTATCCCTAGTAAAAAGTTAGTAAAGTAAAAAAACAAGTTTAGCAAAGACGACTGAAATACCAAATACACAGTTAACTCACTGAGCCCACTGTGCAAGGGTATGAATAGCCACGTAGTTGACTTCAAATTCACAATTTGGATTTGTGAGAACACCACGAAGAAGTCGGCGACGTCGCAATGCAAGAGGTCTTCCAGCATAGGGACCCAAGTAGACTCGACGTGCATCGTAGTCGTTCGCATGGAGATTATCCCACAGCACAATGGGTCGTTTGAGAAGACGTGAGACGTCGCGAATACCCAGGGTGGAAATGCGTTTGCTCACAATGAGGGGACCTGTCCACATCACGTAAACACCTGAAAGGAAGTAAAAATGGCCAAAATTGGGTAGGTCGATTAATAACTCTGAAGTGCTATGATTTCAAAAACGTAATTTTTTATGCAACCGTGTATCGATTTACTTTTTATCTATCACTTCCTCACCTCGCCGACAGTTTTCGTTGAAAATTCTACCTCTGAAGGTCAATCACAAACCGACCGAACCTAATTCTTAAGATTAAAAAGACAATAAAAATTGCATTAATAAAACTAGACTGATCGGCCCGTTTCCTCTCTGTGAGATCTGAGCACCTGTAACATATGTAATACTTGGCCTTATTACACAGCGTAGCAGAGAGAATGTATTCGTTTACAAAACCTAAAACCAAGTAAAGAAATACATGCTCCAAAGTTCCAAACTAATGCAGAACCCTCAAATATCTCAAACCAAGAAAGTCCTTATAACAAACAAAGATGGATTTCATTCCAAGTTCTAAAAAAGCAGCGTATAACACTTTTTTCCCAAATTTTAAAATTAGCCTTAGTCAATCCAATAAGAGTAAAAAACTGTAGTATTTAGAGAACACCTCTCAAAGTCAACGCTTTAAAAATCTAAATATTTCAAGATTTTTTCAAGGTTAGGTGAACGTTGATTTGTTTACACAAAACTATTTATCTGAATATAAATAGACGTAAAATAATCAATTAGCCTTCGCAATCTACTTTGAATTAGGAACAAAGTTTAATTCGTTCTACGACCAGAAATATGGGAATGTGTTCTTTTCATTATATTAGGCAAAAGGATATTAACACCAAAAGCAAGCTTATTACCTTCTGCCAAATCTGTTCCCAATGTAGCGAGGTAAGAGGAATTTAGAACATTGGGGAGGGCCCGACTGGCGCAATACTCGGTGGGACAGAAGAGAAAGACCTCGGGGCGTCCAAGTGCTTCATACACTTTGTTAGTGAGAGCGGCTTGTGCTCGAGCCGGTGAACCAAAAGCATCCTGATCAGGTGGACTGAGACGTGCGTCAATGTCATCAAAGAGGAGAGCAAAGGCATTACAGCCGAAACTCACCGCCTATAATAGAGGGAAAAGAAAAGTTATTGACGTAAGAAATATTAAATTTTATTAGGTTGCATGACAACTCTTTTAAAGTTTATATCGATGACGGAAAAAATTCGTCTATTTTAAATAGATTCAAGCCATTCAGAACACCAAACTTGTGTGAGGGATTTTGATTACCTGCACTCGATATTGACAATAGACCGATAAACCATGCTAATAATCAGAACGAAGGCCACGTCAGTGACTTCAGTTTTGGGACTTGATAAAGGAAATCGGTGTAGAGCTAATGACAATGAATAGCTAAGCAAGACATGCGTACAACATTATTATATCAAATGGCAGGCATTTTGATTGTAATCATT